GATGAGCATGGTGCCAACTAGAATTGCAGTGAGTTCAAGCTATGAACCTGTTGCAAGCTTCAATCACTCTTCTGATACGGAATCTGAGGTAGATTCCAATAACAGTAATTACTGTGAAGCTTCTTCAAAAACAAAGAAGAAGAGGAGAAAAGGAAGAACAAAAATCATTAGAAAAGGTAAAATTTTTAAAGTTAATGCATCTAACTCTTGATACTGACTGGATGAAGGAGACAGAATAAGATGAATGACTGGGAGGATTTGGACTAAACAAATTGTGATCGTGTTCCTTGTTCCTAAAATAACTAGAAATGGGGGAAGGAGAACTGTAATGGGGATGATGACAGCGTCTAGAAGTCTGGACAGGTTTGGAACTGGGAGGTTACCAAACACAGCACTGAAAGAAAACAGTTAAAGTTTGGTGTGGTTCTATGGTATCTAGAGTTCAGACTGACCTGCCCCTTCTTGTGAAATTCAGGCAGTACATTTTTCTCTGAAAGACTTTAAGTCATGATTGCTCTTTCCATATTTAGCTTGTGCTTGCTTGTCTGTGTAGGAGTATATAGTAACTAATGCTAAAATACCTATTCTGAAGTAACATTGCCATGTGTGTGTGTTCTAACAGTTAAATTTGAGAAACACTGGCTTTTGGGTTCTCGGCACAAAATTAAACAATATTCTAAAGGATGCCGTGAATGACTTCTATGGTATACAGTTCAGGATAGCAAAAAATCTCAAAAGGAGCAGTACATTCTCTTTCTTTGGCCTGCTCCTTGTTTGGGGGATTTCAGTAATGAAACCTTTCTGTTACCTTGAGTTTGTGGGTAAAGTAATAGTTGTTACTTTAGATTGTCCTAATTTTCTGTTGAAATTTTCTGTGCTAAAGCAGACTTGTAACTGTTATTTTCAGTTGAAGTAACTTTATTTTTAGTCTTTCAAAATGAATTTGATTGAAAGGTGGTGTAATTATTCTTACTTTCGTGGTGTACACTGGAACCTGTAACTTGATTTGACGTTTGGGTTTTATTCTGTCAGTGATGTGTGGTGTCCTTAAGATAGAGAGACACTTTGATGCTTTGATCCTTCAGTCTTGCATCACATCTTATGAATTAGCTGCTAGAACTTTGAAAATATTCCTAATCTGTTTATTATGATAAAGGCTTTTTTCTCAAAATACGCATCTATAAACACCTAAGCACCTATCTTCTCTAAAAAAAAAAAATGGCTAAAATAATTGTGTGCGTTTTTTTCTTTTTTTAGCTGCCTGCCTTGGAATAGTTCCAGGTGATGTCTTTTTAAGTTCAAAACATTTATTTCTTCAGTTTGCCAAAGAGGATTAAGTTAGCCCTCAGCATTAAGGCTGGGCAGTCTTTTCTACCTTTCTAAACCGTCTTTCTAGAGTGCGAGTTTAGCTCAAAGCAGATGTGTGGGAATCTTAATCCTAAAGTTGGATTATACGTTTCCACGCTTACTAACTGGTCAAAATGTCTCTTTGTACCAGTAACTTTGTGTGCTGTTGTTTGCTGCCACTAGTATGTTATGATGTAGTGTTACATTTACTTACAGTAGTCTCCTGTTTCAAGTGTAATTTACCATGTTAAAGATCTTTTCTCCTGCCTGTTCAGACGTAACCTCCTAACAACTATGAGCCGCAGCCATATGTTGTGCACGTGTCTACTTGATAGTATTGGAGGACTGTGTAATTTAAGATTTAGCTCTTCGTTTTCTTAATCTGTGAATTAGTTTACCTTTTATAGAGCATTATGCAATATTCAGCAGAAATGTGTTATGTTTTGGCCGTAAAATCACACAGTAAAAATAGTAACATAGTGTTCATATATGACTTCTGGAAACTCTTAGAAAGGATAGTAAATTCATTATCCTTTGGAAATGCCACAATAGGAATATACTTAAGTAGCACATAAAGGGATTTACATGTAAATAATGACCAGATTTTG